ACTCATCAACATGTTTGACTCACTAACACCTTCATCCCTGTTCAATGCAGGAGTGGATGTGTGGGTGGTGTAATGGATAGCGGCTTGGAATGAGAAATTGGAAAGCCAAGTTTGGATACTAGTTGGGTTCATTACATTCACTTATGCACAAATAGCCTTGAAAAAAGTTTGAATCTTTTTTCGCCAGCTATGGGTTAAATAGTAGAACTTGAATTTGAAAAAATCATTGTTATTCTCAAAAAGTTATTAATGCAATATTCATTCATAAAAAAAATATTATTACAATTCTAAATGTTTCTGTTTAAATATGCCACAATGGGTTGATAACATGTAAAAACAAATCAACAAACAAAAGAAATTCAGTGCAGGACAGAATATGTGGTCATGGTATATGGAAAAACCAGTGTGACATCTTCCAGTCCATTGCAAACTTCAAAGTTACAAATAATATTTAAGATAAGGAGGTTCTTGGACCAAGTCAGATTAACCTTGGGTGTGGGCCTGAACTATTTTAGTTGATCTATTCCTATAAAAAGAACAAGTCAGGCAGCCATTTAGTAATGCAAAAGGAAATGTGGCTAGTGAATACATTGAGGCTCAAAATAGTATTGAACAAATACGAATACTGAGTGTGACAAAATCTGTCAGAACAATATACTACAAATATCAAATTATGCAAATTTGGAACCAACCAACTATTGTAAAATCAAGGTTAAATACTAAACAATGAAATCTAGGTTTACCTGAACATCTGTTCATCATTTATAATTTATGGTAATATTTAATCTTATGGGAGATAAAATCTTTAATGCAAATCATATTTGCCATTGAGTTTTATAAAGGCATTTATGCAAAATAAACAATGAAGAATATTTGAGCTGTGTACCATGTGTATAAATGCCAGTGATTGATGATTTAGTAAACTGAAAATTGGTGACTCTTTCTGATATTCCTTACAATGGTGGAAAACCTATCATTTTAGATATCTGTTTGAAAGCATCTGTTAAAGTACAACTCTCTCAAAGCAGCAGAAATAGCCAAAGTGCTTCACATCCAAATCAAATTGGACAGAAATTTAAAGAGGGAAATGCATTTACAGCAGTTTACTGATTAGAAATAGAAGTCTCTTTTTTCTGTTTTCTCGTATGATTCTTATAGAAAAAGAAATGGATACTGTAATAGCATAAACGTACAAAGCCAGTGATTATAATTCTATCAAAACTGATCCTTCATCTGATAAAACATAGCAGGTATTGTCATCTATGCATGACTGGATCCTATAGAAATGATTATCACATACCTTTATGGTCAACTAATTCATTATACATTACATTAGAAATATTTTTCTTTCAAAAAGGTGTTAATATCCAGTGTGAAATTTCAAGACTTGGCAAAACAAACACAGAAGGAAAAAAGGTCATTAGGTTGGAAAGTTTTATTTCATCCTTTATACGCATTTGACCTTACACCACAAGATTCTTGTTTTTGATCATTGGAACATTTTCTTAGTGCCAGACATAAGGAAGGCATAAAGTTTCTCAGTATTTATTGTTAACAAATTCATTATACATTGCACTTGAAATATTTTGCTTTGAACAAGAAAGATGTTTATACCCAATATGCCAGTTCAAGAATTCCCTTGGCAAAACAAACCCAGGAGAAAATAGTCATAAGATTGCAAAGTTTTATTTATATGCTTCTTGCCTTATGGCTATATCACATTGAAACACTGGTTCCCATACAATCACTGAAGTTAAGCAATGTAGATCCTGTTCAGTACCTAGATGACTGACTGCTTGAGTGTATGGGTGGTATAAAGGATAATAACTTGGAATTGTTAATCAGAGTGCAGAGTTCCAATTCCCATTGGGTTCATTATATTCACTTGCATGTAAATACCCTGGAGAAAAGTATGAATCCAACATTTTTCCATCCAGCTATGGGTTAATTAGTAAAACTTGTATTAACAGACCATTATTTTCTCAAAAAAGAATTCTTGCAAAAAATATTTTCTGGCTTTAAATAACCTGCAAAGGGTTGATAAGTCATAGAAAATGAATGAATCATCAGTTGTTGCGCGACAAGATTGTTGTTTTTGATTATTAAAACCTTTTTTTTAATGCCAGGACACGGAGACGTAAGGAAGGCATAATATTTCTCAAAGTTGTTAAATTCATTATACATTACACTAGAAATATGCTTTGAACAGAATTATAACAACCTCATTAATGATGATAATGATTATTTTAAGGACTTCCAGTCCCATTAGATATTAGTGGGAGCAAGACAGATCCAGTCAGCTGTTTAAGTAAATTAGTTGTTAAGTTTGCCATTTGTTTTGACATCTTTGTGTTGCTTTGACTTTTCAGTGGCCAGTCTCATAGACCAGAAATATTAAGGAAAGTTCCTAATGGTTATTTGGGACTAAATAAATGACAAGAAAGAGCTTAAAAATTGGTGTAGTGGCCTAAAACATCTCAAGTGTTGGAGGCATATCTAAAAAAAATGCTCATTTTGTAATATCCACCATCCAACAAATCAAAAGGAAAAATTAAAAGTAACATCACTTCCTCAAGGTCCATGGCAAAGAATTGTACAGACATTTTCACTCAATAAGGACACCAATATATTGCCACAATAGATTATTTCTCAAGATATATAGAAATAGCAAAGCATAATCTGATGACAAGCAAATGTGTTATAGGGAAGTTGAAAAATATCTTCTTGCATTGGGGAATTCTTATTGAACTTGTCAATGATAATGGGAAACAACTCTCAAGTTAGAAAGATTTTGCAGACAGTTATGGATTTAAACACATAACATCAAATCCACATTATCCTCAAGCAAATGGAGAAGTGCAAAGCACTGTTAAAATAGCTAAGAGACTTTTGGAATGATCAGACTTATTTCAACCATTAAATGGCATACTGGAGTATGCCAATTCAAGCCACAGGAGTCAATCTCACAGAATTAATTATAGGAAGGAAGACAAGAACCACATTACCTTTCCACCCAAAAAATTATTACTGAAATGGTCTGATTTCATACAAATCAGGGAGAGAGACAAACTGGCAAAACTAGAATGGAAAAGAATTTTAATAGATTCTATGGTGCCGTAAATTTACCAACTCTAAAAATAGGAGTAGAGTTAGAATAAAATTAGGTAAGGAGGAATATTAAAACAATAAAGGAACAATTAAATTAGCAGACACTGACAACAGGTTGTATATCATGACAACTAATCAAGAGGATTTCCAAAGAAAGAGGAAACATATTTCATTTTCAAGTTTTGAAGATAGACTTTTGAGAAAGAAACCAGTTAGTGATCATTACAAGGATTTTCAAGTAAATGATAATACAAGAGAAAGTACTAGAAAAACTAGGAGTGGATGAACTCTAAAATATCTGTTTGATTTCAGAAAGTGAGTGAATTATCACCCTTGAACTGTAACCAAAACACATTTTGATTTGTAATTATTTATTTTGTAATTTGGAAAAGTTAGAAATAAATTAATAAAGAAAATAAATTACCTTAAGAGGTGGGGTGTTATACTAGGATCACTAATGATGATGATGGTGATTGTAAGGAATTCCAACCAGGGAATGCTGGGAGCAAGACGGATACAGTAGGGAGTTTAAACAAATGAGTTGTTAAGTTTACCATGCATTGTCTTTGTGTTGCTTCATCTTTTCAGTGCCCAGTTTCATGTAATATATCTTTCCACCCTAAGCCCAGTAGAACAAACAGAATGTCATTAGGTTGGAAAGTTTTATTTCATCCTCCATACGCATCAGACATTGCACCATCAGATTGTTGTTTTTGATCATTGGAACAGTTTCCTTAGTGCCAGGATATTCAGACATAAGGAAGGCATAAAGTTTCTCAGTATTCTGTATAAATTTCTGGGATGAGAAGTTATTGTTATTTACATGTGGTTTATTGTCCTCATCTTTGTTGCTATCACAATGGTTTAGCTGTTGTGCCCTCTAGCCTACAACAAGTGCTTTTCATTCTGGGTAATCTACAGGAGATTACTATCTGAACCCCTTATTCAGTCTACAGTGATAGTTCCACTGCTAATGTTTAGCAATATCCTCATAGATTAAATAAAGGGTTCAGTTTGAAATTTCTTCAAAGTTACCTGGATCAACAAGCAACTGATGAAGGCCAAAGGTCACAACGGCTGAAACATTATAAGAATAACAAAGATGAGGAAAATAGACTGAATGTAAATAATACAAATAATTTCTCAGCTTTTGTGTCAGCAAAATCCTCAACATTTTATCAGCAGCAGAAGGAAAACTTGCTTTTACACTTGGCTAATATGTTTGCTGGTGACTGCAATGATTATTGAAATTTAACTAAAATTTGCATAATTTTTATTTTCTGAAATCTGTAATCTAACTTTACGAATAATGTAATATTTATATACAAACAGAAACATTCACCAGACTGTGTATCACTTTAAAAGTTGAAAGGCACTTTTTATCATTTTTCTCAGCACTTCCTTTGCGTGTCTTATAAGAAAAATCTAATAAATTCCCATTCATTACAAAGAAATTCAAAGAATATTTGCGATATTTTTCTAATATTTTTTTCTTCATTCATGACAAATCCTTATCTTAATCTTTTGGGGATAATAAACATTTCTTATTTTTCAGTATTTTTTCCTCCATATGCAAGTTTTGAAGTTGACTATGAACAAATTCAGACAAATAGAATGTTATATATAGATAAACAAATTAGCAGTGAATATTTTTAAAAATATATATTTCATTTGCGATAAGAATGTTGTCTCTAATTATTTTTTTGCAATGAAGTTCTCTAAAATGATAATAGCTTTCTTGTCTTTAATTCATGATTAAAAGTTCACTCATTTTAGATTTTGTGTCTGCACTGTTTTTCTTTCAAGTATTCTCAACTTTACAAGAGAGGCTTCTTTGAATCTATTTTGATTGTTTCTGTTTCATAAACTTTTTATCCTGTTTCTTTTTGCAGGAAGTGATTCTGACAATGCTGAAGAATCTGTGGTTGGCAATGTCAACAGATTTGCTGTTGTTCCTCCTGGCTATGTTGCTAAACCCAAACAAGGTCACTTGGTTTTTGATGCTTGCTTTGAAAGTGGTAAGTATATATTGGTATTTTCACATTTATATGGCTTGCACACCTATATTAGTAGCTAACTAAAAAGATTATAAAACAAAGACTGCAAGGAATGATTTGCTTTTGTTCTTAGACTTTTTCTTATGACTCTTTGCAATTTTTTTAGAAAATCAAGTCTAGTATATTAAATTTGATTTTACTGTTTTACAAACTGAGTCTGTTACAAATTTCAAACAAGATATTTCAATATGCTGGTGGATTTTTTATATCTTTTTGTTTTTAATTATTAAGTCTAATGGATATAAATTGTTATTTCTTTTCTGTATTTTTAAGTTACCGACTAATCTTCCAATTTTAATATTAAAACAGCTTTATGTTATATTGTTTTAAAGTAGAAAGAGAGGTTTAAAAGCAATAAACTTTTGCTTACTGTATATACTTGTGTATAAGCTGGTTGCATGTATAATTCAATCTCTGAATTGCATGAATTTTAACCCCTCCAGAAAAAATGTACTTGTGTATAATGCAACCAGTCACTGAAAATGTACAATTTTTAACCTCATCAAAAACTTTTCCTGTGTATTTTGCAACCCTCTATTTTTTTGCATGAAAAAACTTATCACAAAAACTTACACTGTACTTGAGTATATATAGTATTTCAAATTATCTGTGTCAAGACAAAAACCTCTCTATTAGTTCAAATTCTTTGATCTCTTCTGACTGCATAGAATGTTAGGGAAGAAAGACTTAATTGAGAATGATATTCTTTTGATGCCTGCTATTGCTTTATATATGTCTCATGGGGAACATTGTATAATTATGATGTGTACTTAACTTCCATGATGAGATTTCATACATTGTTTTAATTCAACAACATTTATTACAAACATTTACTTTGAACAGATCATCTTCAATTCTCAGTTTAAGTACTATTTTAGATTAATGATTGCAAAACAGCATTTTGTTATTATTTAAAAGCCAATTTTTACATTTAATTCATTAACCTGCCATTGTAAATATAAATTGGACTTAAATATACATGCATTGAGTTAGAAGTAGAGAAAAATGGATATGCTTAATCTTGAGAAAAATACATTTTTTTTATTTAAAAATAATGCCAGTTGAAATTGGCGCAAGAGTGTTTGAACTTGCAAACACTAACAAAAGAATAATTATTCATTGATTAGAATCAAAAAAACTATCAAGGTGACATTCATCTTGAGTATGTAGCATATTTTTGTACTTATCTATTCAGATCAAAATATAGTTTCTGTTTTTTTATTATTTTGATTTTTTTGTGAAATTCTTGTATTGAAAAAATGAAATATATTTGAGATTATTACATTATCAATTATGTTTCCTTTTCTTGGGTGGATTGCAACACCTTCATCAACAAATCTGATGAAGCTAGCATCTTATAAAAGCATGTTCTCTTATAAAATAGTAATTTGAATCATTATGAACTGAAGATCCTATAAATAATTATGAATTGTTGATCCTTTTATTAAAAGAGATACAGACCTATAATTCACTATTTACATTATTTGGACTATTGTTCTCATCTTTGTCGCCATATTTATTACAACGTTTTGGCCATTGTATGCTGAAGCCTTCTTCAGGTGGTTGGAATGTCGAACTGAACCCTTTATTTTGCTCACTGGGGTAAACTGTTCTAGTTCCACATGCCATGTTTTAATGGATGTCAGTTGTCAGTTATCTCGTGTTAATTCCCCTCTCCAAGTTCTCCACTGCCTTAACTAGATATTGAACTCACACTCTTTGGGTTAGTTAGATCCAGTGACAGGACCAAAGAGTGTGAGTTCAATACCTGTTTAAGGCAGTGGAGAATTTGGAGAGGGGAATTAACAGGAGATAACTGACATCCATTAAAACATGGCACATGGAACTAGAACACTTTACCCCAGTGAGCGAAATAAAGGGTTCAGTTCGACATACCAACCTGAAGAAGGCTGGAGCATACAACAGCCAAAATGTTGTAATAAATATTGCAACAAAGATGAGTGCAATAGTCCGAATAATGTAAATAGTGTACATAATACCTCATCTCAGAAATATAGACAGAGACCTTTAATTATTGGTGTTTGATAATTATAGGATACCTAAGAGATGGAATAAAGTAAGTGTAAATCTAAATTGAACGAGGAAGAAAAATTTTCTTATATTTTTATGTTCCTTTTAGTCTTATATTTCCTTATCTTACATTTATAATCAGATAAAGCTACAAACTGTAAATCTATTTCAAAATAATCCAAAATAATAATTTCAAAATAATGTCTTTTTTCCCCGCAAACTTATTTAAATAAAGAAAGTAAAAGAATGTAGCAAATATAAATGGAACTTACTAACCTTACCAATAATTTATGCATATTTTTTTTATCAGTTGAATTAATATCATGTATAGCATGATCCACAAATCAACTTTTGTCATTGTAATATTGTGGTGCACACTTAATTTTAAAACTTAAATTTTAATGTCAATGAAAAAGATGAGAGCATATTGCTAATTTACAATATGGCAAAAATGAAAACAGAAACATTGCTACAAAAACCTATCTGACAATATAACTGTTAATATTTTCTTCTTCATTGAATAACATGATTAAACAGCTTATCAATCCTTGACAATAAACTTGTTGGGATGCAGAAGGTGCTTATCTCCCTTTGGTCATGTGATGCACTGCTTAGTGACATCAATTCATACAGTGATCTTAGCAGCAGACAATTTCAGTTCATTTTACAGAAGCAAAAATGAAAGGTTACATCTAGTCATTTCAACTGCAAAATGGTGAGACTTTGTCACCAATCTAGTGCTGTGCTTAAATTTATAAAGTCTAGCTACCAAAGAGGAAAGCTCATCTGAACAATTACCATGAAAACATAGAACACAGGGAAGCTACATGACCACAGAGAGAAAGTGACTGAAGCTGAAATGTCACATTAGAACCAATAACATTACAGATTGATCTTTGTATTTTATCAAGAATCTCTAACTACATAGAAGCACTGGACCAGATAAATGATAGATGGCTGATTCAGGCCAATCAGAGATCACTGAAGGAAAAAATGTTCTAATCAGTGTAAAAAAATATTCTTACCTGTTTTTTCATGTCCTTCTCCTTCTGGGATTCAATATAAAGTTATAAAAAGTATTCCAAATTCATCATCAGTCAATTCCAAGAATGGCTTACAAATTTGACTTTTTCATCTTCATAAGACTACTGCAGCAATCTGTTTCATCACAGGTGATATTAACCCATCATCCATCAGTGTATACTCAGGCCATCTCTACTACTGAGATACATTGTGCTAGCCTTAGCATCAATTCTAGACAAGAAGTTATTGAAACAACCCAACCATGAATTGTTTATTGCAAATGCATTTATTCCTTTGTTAAAGCAAAAAGCAGTTGTTTACATTATCTGCTATGAAATATTTTTTTTATTAAATAAAGTATTTTTTTATTAAATATTTGGTTATGACCTTCATAATTATAATATTAAAAAAGAAACTAGAAGGTTAATAAAATAAATGTAGAAATTTGTTCTTTAATTCCCAACTTAAAAAAAATATGATTTTTTATTTTATTTCGATAAATTTTCAAACAAATATTATCAAGAATTAATTTTTAAAAAGAGAGCAAAATATATTTTGAAAAATTTAAACCAGGTTAAGAATATAAAATGTTGTTTTATTCTTTCAATTTAATAAATTTAGCAGCAAAATTTTACAGTTTTAAAGTTAAAAAGTGATTAAAAAATTTAAACACCAACTTATAAAATAGAATATAGGTGAATAAAATAGCTGGAGTAATTTTTAATTCTGTGTTTCTGTATTTTGTTAAATTTAACTGATTATAATAAAAAAGACATCTAAATTCAATAAGTCTAAGTTTGTAAATGAATTATAATTTTCTTCAAGAAGTAGAAGATTTTTCCCTTAAGATTTATCAAATACACTTTAGTAAACATGTTCATTTAGTGATTTTAAACATTAATTTACTTACTTAATAATTGCTGACTAAATACCACTAGATTCTTAATATGTTAGGGCTTATGGCCATACTACAGTGAAACATCAGTTACAATCACCAAAGTTAAGCAACATTGAGCTTGATCAGTATCCAGATGGGTGACCAATTGGGAATACATGAATCCCTCTCTTCTCTCTCCAGCTATGGGGTTATTAGTAAAACGTGTATCGCTAAGTCATTATGTCAAGAAATGAAATTCTTTCTTTTGCTTTCTAAAAAATATTTTCTGGCTTTAAATAACCTGCAAAGCTGTAGAAAATGAATAAATGAATCAATCAGTCTCACTGTCTTTATTTTTTGTTTTTAATGATTTAAAAAAATAAATAAACTTTTAGACAGTCTGTTCTTTCACATTTAATAAATACTTTTTTTTAATTTATCAAGTATAAGTAAAAACATATTCTAGTAATGTCATTTGAACAATAATCCATTTTTTTAATTGCATATTACTCATAAGATTGGATTATGTAAACTGTTTAGCAGTCTTTGTTATTTATGCTTTTAAATTTCATCTGCTGTCTTTAGTAAATTGATTTAATTTCTCTTTGGATCCATAATTATCAAAGTATTTTTTTTTCTTTTTCAGGTAACCTTGGTCGAGTTGATTACATAACAGAATTTGAGTATGATCTCTTTATTCGGCCTGACACTTGTAACCCACGATTCAGAGTGTGGTTCAATTTTACTGTGGAAAATGTCAAATCTGACCAGGTAAGTTTTGAAGGTGATCATAATTTCTGTGAACAAAATGATATTATATTGTTTTAATGTTTGATTTAAACATTTTTATTGTGGTGTGAGTAGCCATAGTCAAATGCAAAATAAGTAACAGAACTGTTCAACAAATAGAATTGACAAAGTTTGCAATCAGCAATAACAGGAAAAAGAAAAGAGGAAAGCAAGAAATAATATAAAGCAAGTAAGCAAACAATATATGCAACAGTAATAAGGCAAAAATTTCACAAAGAATTGGAATTGTCATACAAAAGCAAGTTTGAACAAAGGAACACAGTGTTCTGACTTCAAGAAAAAGCAAACTGGGACTGAATCAGATGAAACCAAGAACTGGCCTATTTTATTGGCTAAGAAAAAATCCCAGCCTGCATTTGTGTGCTTCTGCCTATAAACTGGGGAGGGGCAAGTGTTTTACAGTTATTCCCAGTATGATTGAAATCAACAGTTATGAACACATTGTTTATGGTAAATATAAATATTAAAATTCTTACTATGTGTGAAGAAGACATTTTTTTAAAAAATCAGTTTTATCCATCTAATGCTGTCTTCAGTGTTATAAGCTTCATTTTTCCCCATAATAATTGTTTATTTCACTTGAATAAAAGAAAAAAATCATTAATATAGGTTGGTTGCTTCAACTGACTCCACTCTTCCTCTAAAACCTTATTTCCCTAAATTTAATGTGTAACCATTGGACTGTATTGCACTGAGCTTCATTAATCACTTTTATGATAACATGCTAGAATATTCACTTTTTCCTTTTATATTATTTTTACTTGATTTCAATCTCTTCTCAATAGTAGATATTATACTTTGCTCCAAATTAGACCTCTTTCTGATTCACTCCACACCAAAACCTGTCGGTGAGTATGGTCAACTGACTCTACACAACCTTCAACACCAGGCTTGTCTTCAAATAATTCTCCCATCCTCCAGGTTACTTCCCTTGCTCCCAAGAGACATTCACGTTTGATGGACCCAATTTCAAGTCACTCAAAATGATGTCATTTAAATGGCCAAACTGAAATTTTTATGTGTTTGTGTGTATGCATGTATCTTTTTTATGTTAAACGCACTTCAATATATGTTCCCAGGGGACTGTATATTGAAATGTGTTTAATATAAAAAAAAAATAAACACACACTTGGCTTCACTAATCTGCTCCCGACCTATCTGCTGACATCAAATCTGACCTCAGCCAACCAACCCAAGAAAATGGTCAACTTCTGGCCTTACTGATGATACACTTACACCTAATTTCTTTCCTTAACAATGGTAACTATAGAACCATATATGAACAATATGTGCCATCTTTCACACAAATATGTATATATTCTAAATTTTGACCAACACATATTGTTGAAATTTTAATCCTTATTTGTTTCTTTCCTTTGCAAGCAAATGCTCGTTATAACATTATATATATATATATATATATATATATAGGCAATATATTTGCACCCACCCCAGTGCTGTGTTCCATCACAAGATATTTTGGCAAAATATCACATGCTGCAATGGCTGATAAAGAAGAATGTAGTATCTCACTGTCCCATAACCACTTTTCCAGCCCATGCATTAGCAATAAATACTGTTAGCTATATAGGTAATTTGAAAGGGACCAAAAATATAATAGTAATTTCTGATATATTTATGTATGTAAATTTTGATATTAAAAATGATAACTTTTTAAAAATACAACCTTAGTAAAAAAATGTACACAATCTTGTAATGGGAGAGAGATATGGAAGAAAGATTTATTCTTGCATTTGTATTTCTCCCATTATGGACATTATTATATCTGTGACCATATTTCATGGACAGAACAGAATGGCTGAAAGGAAAGGGAATGACAAACATAATTTGTTCTTAGAGAGACTTTTATACTACTATGACATATCCAAAACTATATATACATATATACATATGTTTCACATGGAGAATAATATATCACATATACAGCAAACCAGAGTGTAAGGAGAACGAAAAAAAATGGGTCTTACATATAATATGAAGATATTCTTGTATCTGGAGAAGCCATGTTTATGGCTCCAGATTCAAATGGGCAGATTCATCTATGTCCCAGATGAGGACATATTCCATGAATGGGGAAACAGCAAGTCTTGGGTTTTCCCAAATTGAGGACTATAAGCTAGGGTTTCTATTTCTAGGAAAGATATATTCCCAAACGAAAATGGCACCATATGCTTGTAAGCTGCAGGGAAAGCAGAGTTAGTCTCTCCCTGCGCCATGTGTTGCCAGAGCTAAAGAAAGCAACCTTATTGTTTAGCTGCTGAAAACAAACTGAATTTGACTGCCACTTTTATCACTATATGGAGTGAGGTCCCTAAGCAGTCATCATGTGGCCCATGTGATGTATCTCCATGAAAGGGAGATAATTAACTTTTGTATCCCCCACAATATAATATAGAGAAAGTTCAAAGAAAAATATGAATAAATATCTCACTTATCTGTAAGTCTACCATTCGCTCATGCTTATAATACTGCTGCCACATATGGTCCTGTGCCCCTGCTATTTACCTTGAGATCCTTGATAAAATCCAAAGAAGAATCTGCAATATTATTGGTCCTGATCTGGTGGCTCAACTTCAGTCACTTACCCACCAATGTAAGGTTGCCTCTCTGTGCCTTTTCTATAAATACTTTTATGGCAATTGTTTCACTATGGTACCTAGACATTTTGAAACAAAGTACTAGACTTGCATTGAGATCTCATCAATTTACAGTTGAACTGACTATATGTAGTTGTAAGTTCTATGCTAATAGTTTTTTTCCTTGCCCTTCTGGCTCCATACTTTCCAGACAGCTTTAATCTGCAAAAAATTAAATGAAATATCAATCACTATCTACTGTCCTCCTGATTACTCTTTCCTCTTTCCACTCATTATTAATGGTTCTGTTCCTAATTCTTCCACACCCTTTAACCCCTTATGTCTTAGTGGCTTTACTGCCTTGCATGGGGTGATACCAATTAAACAAAGAAAAAACTAGACTTAATGAATGCAAGATCTATATATCTGAAGATGATAAATTAATATTACACGTTTCACTTTCAGCATCCATCATATCATTCCCAATTTTTAATGCACATTTAAACTAACATTTCCAAAATTATACACACACACACACACACCATGTGACATTTCAGACAACCAATAGAAGAAAAACAAACATGGAATTTAAAAACTGATAATCACATTAACACCAATATATATGTGATATCTACACAGTCAATAAGATCACAGCATAGAACTTAAAACTGAAATAAAATCATTTCCCACCAGAATTTTCTGATGAAGCTAAATGAATAGTGAAACATGCCAAATTTATAAAGATTTCTTATTTCTTCTTTGTTCAATCATATTTAAGCATTTAATATAAAAATAAAGTTGCAAAGTAATAATAGTTGTTTGTACTAATTTGTCAAGTTATAAAAACAAGTTTTTAGCCATATACTAGTTTTTGTAAATGTAAAACAAAAGTAAAAAGCTGTCACATTTTTAAGAATTCACCAATGTACTGGAGTTCTGTTCTGGCATATATTTCTAGACTATTCTACAGATTCCATTATTTAACAATCTTAAAGATTTCTGAAAATTTCCTTTTGTGTTTTTTTTTTGTATTTTCTTGAAGCTATTGGAAGATATTAAGCATTTTTCTTATCAATCAATTTTTTATTTTTTCAATTCTTCTTACTCTAAAATGGCCAATATTACTGCCAAATACTTAAAAAAAAATATATTTTGTAAATTTGTAAGAGTGCAAACATTCAATTTTGATTATTTGTAAATGTAAGTAGTTACAATTTAATTGATTTTTATTTTTCTGGCAATTACCTTACTTACTTTTTTGGCAGTGACTTTAGCTTCCTTGTTTTTGATTAAAAACTATAAATTATTTTGATTTGTGCTTGTGTAAATGTCAAATCCTCAGACAAAGATAAAAAAAAAAAATTCCTAAATTATTTTACCACCTGCAGTTTCCTGATTTATGCTTTTCATGAGTAGTAAAGGTTAATTTTTAATTTGATGACAAAAATGTACAAAAACAGTGTCAGTAAGGGGTAATTTTTGTCTGTAAGAAAAGTGTATAATGATTTAATAGACCAAGACATACTAACACCTTTCTACCTGCAGCCACTTGAAGATCATACACAAGTCTCATTTGTTACACTTCAGTAAATTTACAAGGATGAATCAGGCATTTTTGAACAGCTACTTAAAAGATAATCATTTTTTATTTGAACTTCAAAGCCATTTCCAGATGGATATTTTCTCAAACAATCAACAATCCAGATGGGGGCTGTAATAATTTACACAAAAAGGACTTTATCAACCAGAATAATGTCTTGTTAACTTGTAATACTGATGATGATTTACACATAACATTGTACTATTTTAAGTCTTTTTGTACTTGCAAAATTAGAAAGCTTATACAAACAATTTGACTAGTCTAAATATAAAACTGACATCATATGGAGAAAATTGTAAGTTTTATAATATCACTTTTAGGTTGTCACCTCATATTGTGAAAATTTGCATGTAATTTTTAACACTTCTGCTGTGGATATATTTAAATGTCATCATGAATTTATATTGTCTGTGGTCAATATTATATGCATGACAGACAAAGAAAATTTTATTAATTTTTTATTTAGTTTTTCCAGTGTTCTTACATTTTTCCATTTGGTATGAGTGAGGCAGTATAAAAACTGTCCATACCATCCATTGTACCAAACACTTTCAGCCACTTCTTTAGGCATTTTCAAGGGAGTTGCTTTTGGTGGTGTTAGTTTATTTTCATGTTTTTGACTATGTGAGATGTATTATTTGTGTATTATTGGTGAATTATAATAGGAGCTAATTCTGAACCATCATGTATCAATCATGACTGGAATGTGAGTTGGTGACTTTCTATTTTGAAAAGAATTTCAGAATTCTGTTACCATTGTTAAA